CAATTGGATCAGCCTTTAAATGGTTTTTTAGGGCTGACCAGATAGTCATGTAAATGAAGTTCAAGGGTAGAGTTTTCTTTATTGTTTAATTAATGGTTTCTCCTCACTTCCTGTTAACTACTTACAAGAAAAAAAAAAGATATTTTCAAAGATTAGTATTTGACAGTGTGTTATTAAGCTGATAGACTGTGTTTTGAGTTTAGGAGAGAAATTCACACCTTGATGAAAAACAAAAACTGTAATGTAATTCTTGCCTCCCTTTTCAGAAATTACAGTCTTTCCTCAGTGTAGAAATGATTAGCCAGTAAGAGTTATGAAATGAATCTGTTCTGTTAGTTGCCACATGTCACAGATCTGAAATCAGGCTTCTCTTATTGTTATTTCTGAGGTTGGTCTGGGCTTTTGTAGTACTTCTCCAAAGGGTAAATAAAATGCCTTCCATTTAGTACAATTCAGTATTTGTTGAGAGCCTGGCCTGTGCCAGGTAGTCTTCCAGGGACTGATTCCTTTTCAATCCCAACCAGTTCCACCCTTTGAGGGCAGACTTATTCCAAGAGGATAAAGGACAGTTTCAGGAAAGAAAGTTTCATCCATTTTAACTAATTGATTTAATTGAAGTCATTTTTCAGGATTTGAATGTTTTCAAATTTATAGTTAAGAAATAATGATGATTGTTGGGGCAAATGATTCTTTAAAAAACTACTCTGCCTGGGGAATTAAAACCTCAAAGCAAATATATGCAGTGTTGCAGTGTTTTCTTAAGTTTATTCTTTTCCAACAAGTGGTCCTCTTACTCGGTCCTTCAGTCATTCAGCAAACGTTTAAAGCATGGCACAGTGCAAGGGAAATAAATTATGCCTGTGTCCTTGCTCACAATGCTTACAGTCTAATTTGGGAGACAAAACAAATAAATACACAAGTTAAAGTATAAACACTGCACAAGAGTATGGCTTAGCCCCTAGAGCCAGGTAGAACAGAGTTCCAGTCCCTATCTCAGAACTGTTGTGAAAATCCAAATGAGATAATGCACATGAAGTGCTTAGTGCAGTGCCTCGTACATAGTAGGTGCTTAGTAAATGTTAACCATTATTATTGAACGATTATTTAGCCAGTGAGCTCTGAGGGAGGAAGGGAGCAAGCACTGCGAATTGGGGTAGTTGGAGGAAGTGAGAACAGAGCTGGACTTCGGGGAGGCGGAGCGGATAAGAAGAGCATTAGGAAAGTTGTGGAGAGGAAGAGGCATTTTAAAAGACCTAGGGGTGGAATGATACACATGAGACAGTAAGCAGATGTGGCTTTGAGAACACTAGTTCTCATCTGAATTACCACTGTGGATCCTTTAGGGTGGTAGGCATTTCGAAGAAAGACAGTCTGGGTTTCTAGTTACAAGCGGTATTTCCTTGAGCAAGTCTGGCTTTGGGCTGTAATAGGAGTTTGTTTGGGTCAAATAGTCCTTTGTGAGAATTTAAGACCAGTAAGTGTAAACTTTGTAGCAACTGTGTCTATCATTTATTTCTTAAATGATAGCAATAGCTATATCATTCATTTATTCACTCAGTAAGTGTTATTGAAAGGTTACTATTATGCCATCACTGAGTTGGAAACTGGGGATTTAGCGATGAAAAAGATGACACAATCTCAGCCCTCCTAGAGTTTATGACCTAGTGGAGAAGTTGGCTAATTCAACAATTATCAATATGGGATAAAGGCTAGGAGAGAGCAAGTGGACTGGTAGAGGGTGCCAGATGCATGTGTGGAAAAGACTATGTCCTAGGCAGAGAACAGGGCAAGGGTTCCCGATAAAGCAGTGTGCAAGTGAGGCATTCGTGTCAGTTTGTGGTTAAGATAGTAACTATGAATTTTCAAAAATTTATCTCTATATTGTAAAAAGTGAACTCAAATTAGAATCCTCTCATGATGATTCACACATCTCTTCCCCACTTTTCTTAACCCAGAGCATAAATGTTTTTATGCAATGGTAAACAAGTAGTTTGCGTGTTAGAATTAGTATGAAAGAGGCAAGTTTACCAGGAAGTTTTACATAAATAAGGAAATTTATTCATGTTTGAACAAGGTTATTACTAAACCGAGTTATTAGCTATTTAGAACTGCTTCACTGTCTCTTTTAATAGATTTTTTTTTCTTTAAATCAGACTCCTGGAAGAGAGATATTCATAAGTAAATATTAGCATCTTGCTTTGGATTCGACTGTAACAGCAAAGGTCCTGACACAAATCCTGTAAAACCTCTGATTTAGTGACTTACCTTGGAAATAAAGTCCCATGGGTATAATTTGGAGGAACAAGGATGCTATAATTCAGTATATACCCAGGATGTTCCCTTGAAAAAATGTGACAAATCACACATTTATTTAAGTAACTAGGTACTTTTCTCGAAACACCAGATTTCATTTGTCTGGACTTCGGGGAGGCGGAGCGGATAAGAAGAGCATTAGGAAAGTTGTGGAGAGGAAGAGGCATTTTAAAAGACCTAGGGGTGGAATGATACACATGAGACAGTAAGCAGATGTGGCTTTGAGAACACTAGTTCTCATCTGAATTACCACTGTGGATCCTTTAGGGTGGTAGGCATTTCGAAGAAAGACAGTCTGGGTTTCTAGTTACAAGCGGTATTTCCTTGAGCAAGTCTGGCTTTGGGCTGTAATAGGAGTTTGTTTGGGTCAAATAGTCCTTTGTGAGAATTTAAGACCAGTAAGTGTAAACTTTGTAGCAACTGTGTCTATCATTTATTTCTTAAATGATAGCAATAGCTATATCATTCATTTATTCACTCAGTAAGTGTTATTGAAAGGTTACTATTATGCCATCACTGAGTTGGAAACTGGGGATTTAGCGATGAAAAAGATGACACAATCTCAGCCCTCCTAGAGTTTATGACCTAGTGGAGAAGTTGGCTAATTCAACAATTATCAATATGGGATAAAGGCTAGGAGAGAGCAAGTGGACTGGTAGAGGGTGCCAGATGCATGTGTGGAAAAGACTATGTCCTAGGCAGAGAACAGGGCAAGGGTTCCCGATAAAGCAGTGTGCAAGTGAGGCATTCGTGTCAGTTTGTGGTTAAGATAGTAACTATGAATTTTCAAAAATTTATCTCTATATTGTAAAAAGTGAACTCAAATTAGAATCCTCTCATGATGATTCACACATCTCTTCCCCACTTTTCTTAACCCAGAGCATAAATGTTTTTATGCAATGGTAAACAAGTAGTTTGCGTGTTAGAATTAGTATGAAAGAGGCAAGTTTACCAGGAAGTCTTACATAAATAAGGAAATTTATTCATGTTTGAACAAGGTTATTACTAAACCGAGTTATTAGCTATTTAGAACTGCTTCACTGTCTCTTTTAATAGATTTTTTTTCTTTAAATCAGACTCCTGGAAGAGAGATATTCATAAGTAAATATTAGCATCTTGCTTTGGATTCGACTATAACAGCAAAGGTCCTGACACAAATCCTGTAAGACCTCTGATTTAGTGACTTACCTTGGAAATAAAGTCCCATGGGTAAAATAATTTGGAACAAGGATGCTATAATTCAGTATATACCCAGGATGTTCCCTTGAAAAAATGTGACAAATCACACATTTATTTAAGTAACTAGGTACTTTTCTTGAAACACCAGATTTCATTTGTGTTTGTCCTGGTTATTAATACATTTACCTATATATAGCTGGTATATAAAAAACCAGTTCTAAAAAACAAGAGAAATTTTATGTTTTGAAGAAGATTCTAAAATCAAGTAGCTGATTAAAACAGATTTTTTATCTGAAAATTTCAGGAAGATTATTTTCTCAAGTTAACACTTTCATTCTTGTTTTTCTTTATAATTTTTTCCCTCCCCATGTTCTTCTCGAAGTATAGTAATCCCAAAGTTTTTAACTCCTTTGTTAAAGATCTTAGAGTCTTTTAAAGTTTTTCATAGCATTCTGTTTGAAAGTAAGATGAGTACATATATTCTCTTAATGGAGTGTTAACTCAGGAATAGATGCAAATAGGCAAGCATAGAGGAACTAGCATTAAGATGATCATTGCTGACAAATTTTCAGGTCTGTTTTTTTTCCTAAGTACATTTCATCTTCTGAATTGAAACATGTAAGGTGTCTATGACCAGTGTTTATAATTTGCCCAATAGTGTAGAAATTGTTTTGATAGTGTTTCGGACTTTGAGTTCTCTGCCGGGAACACCAAGAAATCAAAATGGAACAAGTAGTAGGACAGGAGGAACATGACCTCTTAGGTCATCTGTTTAGACGAAGTGTATGAAATTGGAAGTTTACTCTGCCATATTTAGGTTCCCAGAACAGAAACCTATTTGTTCTTAAGTAAGCTGGGTCAACTGTACTTTCTGACCAAATTCATTGACGATACTGGGACTGGGGGAGCATTCTCTCTTTAAGGAAAAGAAAAGGTACAAGGTGCATCCAAGTCTCTTTCTATTTACTTAACACGCGTTTGAAATACTCATAGGTTCCTGAAGGGGTATAATTTTGGTCCTAAAACTTCTGAAGTAATTTCAACGCTAAAATGTAAAACATTTTGACTTCGTGGACTTTAAATTGATAATATCTTGTTCACGTAGTTATTTTGCTGAAAATACGCTCTGCCTAATCTGGGGTTAAAAAAGAAAAGATTTACATCTATATGTCACTGAAAGTAGGGAACAGTTTTAATCAGATTACAGGGTTGACTTTGGTATATGTTCTTCAGTGGTGATGTGTAACTAATTACATAGCAGCTTTTTACTGTTTTGCATTTCAAAGTCCTAGGTACAAAGATTCTTGGTTATTGGTAATTTCATTTTCCTGATATTATAGTAATAGAATATTGTGTGTTTTTATTTAACACTGTTACTTTTGAAGTCATATCTAGTTACTAGTTTCAAGGGAGGGAAAAAAATACTGTAGCTTAATAATAATGTTAAATATATTTTTCCTCTTAATAAATAATTTTTACTTTCTTGGGTTTGATTCATTTAGTTTCTCTTTGATATCTGACATGTGGAAGCAAATTAAAGCTCACCTCTTATTTTTATGTTACTGTCACATCATTAGTAGACAAATATAGAGTTCTACTTTATGGGAAACTTTCATTGCCATCTTCTTAATCGCTGTGGTCTTTGTGTGTGTGTGTGTGTATTTGTGTAGCTGGCACCTTCTCTTCCTTTACAAGAAGATTTCGTTTATCACTGGAAGGCGATCACCCATTACTACATAGAGACTTCAGGTAAGAAACAATGCTAATGTTAATTAAACAGAAATTTGTGAAATACTAAATTTATTTCAAATTAGTTTTCAAAGTTATTTTATATTTAAATTTATAAACCATTTATTTTACTTTTAATTCCTCTTTTAGATTTATTAAAAATATGTATCTGTTGAGCACCCACTATGTGTAGGCATTGTTCTGGGCACTGGGGGATAGGCAGTCAAACAGACAAACTCTATAACCGAGCTAATATATTGATTGGGGAAAGCAAACAATAAACAAACAAATACATATAGTGTCCCATGATAAGTGTTAAGGAGAAAATGAGGCAGGCCAAGGGAGATGGAAGTGTGTGCTTGAGGGAGTGGGTGGGCAGCTGGCTATATGAGGTTAGAGAAGGCCTCATTGCCTGAGGTGACTTCTGAGCTAAAGTCCGAGGGAGAGAGGAGGCAAGTCTGGGGAGTATCTAGGGGGAAAGTTCCAGAAAGAAGACCGAGTGCACAAACCCTGAGGCTGGAACGTGCAGTACGCCCGGCATATTTTTGGAACTACAGGAAGCCAGCGTGGCTAGAGTGAAAGTGAACAAGGAAAAAGTGGTAGGAGATGACATCAGGCAGGTTGGGAGTGGAGCGCAGATTCACACAGGGCCTCGTAAGCCATGGTAAGGGCTTTGGCATTTACTCCAAGGTGGGAGCCCATTAGAGGATTTTGAACAGAGGTGTAACCAAATCTGTTTTAAAGGAATCAGTTTGGCTTCTGTGAAAATTTAGATTGAAGGTATGCAGAGGTGAAGCTGGTAGAACAGTTAGGGAGCTACTGTAATGGTTTGAGATGATGGTGGCTTAGACCTGGGTGGAGGTGCTAGGAAGTGATTGTATTCTGGGTGTATTTTGAAGGAAGCTTTTTTGATGGGTTGGATATTGGGTAAGAGAGAATAAGAGTCAAAGATAACTCCAAAGCTTTGGGCATATGCAGTTGGAAAAGGGCCACTTATGAGAATGGGGAGACTGCAGCAGGAGCAGGTTTGTAAGAGAGTTTTCAACATATTAAGTTTGAGATGCCCATTATCTCTCCAGTTGGATGTGTCAAGTAGACAGTTGGAAATAAGGCATCTGTAATCCAGAGAGATATGAAATTGAGAGTCATCACACGGGAGTAGGGTTTAAAGCCATGAGACTAGATTAGATTATCTAGAGAGTAAGGATAGATGGAAGAGAGAAGGTGTTCAGGAACTGAGACCTTGGGCTCAGTGTTTAGATGTTAGGAAGGTGAGAACAATAGCAAAGGAAACTTTGCTTTTGCCAGTGAGGTAGAAGACAACCAAGAGAGAATGGTGTCTAGATGCTAGATAGATTGCTCGCTTGAGTGTAAGTATAAAGTGCAGCTGAGACATGGAGCAACAGGTGGAGGGGGATGAAGTGTCAAAAGAGGGTTATTATTTTTTTAAGGTGGAAAATATTGCAATTTAGTATTCAATGGGAATGATATAGTAGAGGAAGAGGTGGGTACAAGATCAGATGAGAAGCAGCTTTCACTTTGGGAATAGCTGTGTGTTAAAGAGTGAAGATGTAGAAATTTTTAATAAAGCACTTTTCTTTGGGCTCCTCATAGATAAAGATGAATTAGGGGCATTAAGTATCTGACTTCTCAGTGTTAAGAAGTAGTGCAGTAGCAGTCAAAGCAGAACTTATCCTCTACACTGTCTAGGTTATTCAGCTTACTGTTCAAGGCCAACCTGTTTTTATATAAAGATACTTAAAATTCAGACCTCTTGAACTGGCTAATTAAAAAAAATTTTTTTAATTACAAGTGCATACAGCACTCTGATATTACGTGTGTTTTTCTTTATCATGTTCCCATTTCCACAAAAATGGCTCTTATTTCTAAATTATTCTGCAGGAAAATTAGCTTGTAGAATATATTCCAGAATATTGATTCAGTTTTTTAATAAGATGGCAAGAGCATCATCTAAATTCTAGCAAAGATAATTATACCATGAGTATAACCCTCACTTAGGTTTGTAGTTTGATTTTTTTTCAATTTGAATAAGAATAGAGAAATATAAAGAGTATTTTAGGTGCAAATATGCAGCTTAAAAATGTTCGAATGTTTTTTATTGTTTAGATGACAAAGCCCCAGTCACAGATACAAATATTCCATCTCATCTGGAACAGATGTTAGATATATTGGTCCAAGAAGAAAAAGAACGAGAATTTGGAGAGACGGGGCCATGTATGGAATATTTACTTCATCACAAGATCTTGGAAACATTATATACCTTAGGGAAAGCTGACGTAAGTGCCTAATCCACATCACGTTCTCCGGCGTGTAATCCATGCATTAAGGTCTTAGAGATAAGGCAGCCACCAAGTACTAAATTTAATTATGGAGGTATGTACTAAGCATGGCAGGATTTAAGTCAGTATATGAAACAAAGAAAATTGTGCAGCCTATATGAATATAACTTTCCATAGAGATAGCAAACCTCCCAAATGCTCTAGACAACAGTTGGTACTTAGGCTTCTTAGAATTACAGTGTAAACGTTTATGAAAATAAACTCAAGTACATGTGCTTAGAATCGAAGGAAATGAGAAGGAATCCAATGAAAATTGGGTTACAAAAATAGGAATTATTTTTCATAATCTTGAATGTCACTGATTATTCTGACATTAACTCTACTGATATGTGGAGAAAATTCAAGTTTTTAGGCGTAATGAATCTTGAGAAATCTTTGCAAAGCTAATATTATATAAACAATATTCTGTAAAACTTTCAATACTTATAAAGACAGGTTTCAAACCATGTGCCGGTGTGAGGGAAGGGGAGGAGCTTCGGGTTTGGGTTAGGGGGCCTGGCTTGGTCGCTAATATACTGTGACCTTCAGCACTTCCCTTTGGTTAATCTTCCCTTCTCTTTAAAAACAAGGAGGTGATTACCAGTGGCCTCCCCAGCTCTAAAAATCTGCAATTCTGTGAATTTCTATATGTGGAAATCAAACTGATAAGAAAAAACTAATAGACATGTTTAAACACCAAATAAAGTTATGAATAGTAGTATTAAAGACAAGTGCCTTTTAACTAATCTATGATACCAGTTCACTTTTAATTCAGTTCATTCAATTTATATTTTCTAGGCACCACATCTCCCTGATACCTTGCAATTCATTCCCCTCCCCGCTTCTTTTTTCTTGTCTTTTGGAGAGAGGGATTGTACGACATTAAGTTGAATAAATATTGATTTTTGAGCGAATGTTAGTAATTGTACTAGTAGTAAATTTATTTCGATATAGGTGATTGTAACTATGAGCATTTTATTTGAATAATGTAAGGTATTTGCTATCTTAGAAAATGTTGTGCTTAAGATTATAGTTTATACTATCTCCAGATAGCACATCTGTGATGATGCTTTGGAAATACTACTCATCTTGGGATTGTATTTTAAATGTGAGGCAATATAAGGTAGGTTAATTATAGAACATATAACGTTAATTCATACTCTCTTAATCCGCAATGTGAGGTCTCATCAGGTTTACCTACTTTTCAGCAAATATTTAAAACAGCTGGCATGTTATAAAAACTTCTCTATTAAATATTAATTGCCTTTAATAATCATGATGTAAATAATTTCACAACTAATTTAAAACAGCATTATTAGAATAAATCACAGCAGTTTATACCATAGGAATACTTATATTCACATGTATGTGTTAGAAGGTTTTATTTACTCCTGCATTTATATGATAGAAAGTTATTGATTACTTGTCATTAGTGTAAGGAACAAAATTCTGGCTTTACTTTGGCCAAGGAGTTAACTATTAATTGTTTCATGTTACCGTAGCATTTTAGAATATAAACATATTGACATTGCCTGAATCAAACTCCAATCTCAACTGGGTCTTATCACCATGCTGTTTGTAATTACATCAGTCTCTGGTCCCATATACTACATTATAGTCCCAGATGTAATTTTATTTCTTGAGTACCAGTCATTAATATTTAATTGAGAATTTTATTCTGCCTAATTGCATTGACTTTTGAGAGTCGAATACATTCACATACATTGTCTCTTCTATTTTTTAAGCTGTTGTGTAAGTGTATTTGTGTTGTCTACTCTTTTCCTGTTTGCTCTCCTCTCTTCCCATACTCAGTGTCCTCCAGGAATGAAACAGCAGGTTTTGGTATTCTACACTAAGCTTCTGGGGAGAGTCAAGCAGCCACTACTTCCACACATTAACGTGCACAGGCCAGTGCAGGTATTTTGTTCTCCTCCCATAAAATTATGTGGTTCGATTTGTTATAGATATAATTATATATGATTTTTCTAAGAGTAAAAATAATAAAGGAAATTATTCTAAAAATAACATGCAAATTAACAAATACTCGAGTTTTCATTATATATGACATAGTAAATGTACTTTATGTCTTTATACTTTCTAAAATTTTATACATTAATTTTTCCTTTTACTTATCTCTTATGACATCTCTAAGAGTTTTTTTATATATGTCATTAATTTTTTTAGGCTAATGTATTTGAAAAATTTACTACTAGTAAATTGATTTTGGTAAAGGTGATTATAAATAGTGGTCTATCTGAATAATGCATGTAAGTAGCCATCTATTTAAGGCAAATAGATGGCTACTTACATGCTTGTAAAAAATAACCTAACTTAAAACCTTTTTTAAAAAATTTATTGACAGAAATTAATTCGACTGTGCGGTGAAGTTCTTGCAACACCAACGGAAAATGAAGAAATTCAGTTTCTCTGTATTGTATGTGCAAAACTGAAAGAAGATCCCTATTTGGTTAATTTTTTTTTGGAGGTATGGTATACTTATCAATTTTCAAAGTATGCTCATACTAAAATTATGAGATCGACTATTCACGTGCTTTTAATGTTGATTATTACAATCTCCCTCGAATTAGAGTAATTTACATGCATTTTATTTTCTCCTGATGGTCAATAAGCTCCTTGAGGACAAGGACTCTGTCTCATTAACCTTTGGGTCCCTACAGATTTTCTAGTATCTAGCATAATGCATAATAACTGTTTAATTAACACATACTAAATAAATGAATCGGTAGATAAATGTAGTTTTATTTCTTGGAAGTATAGTCATAAAAGTACTTTGAAGCTCTCAAGCATGTGTTCCCTGAAATCTAATCTGTATTAGATTTATATTAGCTAATATATGCGTCTACTGTGGATTAAGTGCACATAGTAAATGAGTTAGAAACTGTCTTTGCCCTAACGGAGTTTATAGTCTGGTGAGGAAGGTGAACACTAATATTCAGATACAGTACAGTGTGTAATCTAAAGTAGAGTAAGGTGGGTATTTTAGAAAAGATACATAATAAATGCGCTTTAAGTGTCTGTGCAATGAAGAGATTATATCTGTTCTAGGTCATCAGGAAAGACTTCATGGAAGAGATTATCTTTGATATGAGCCTTGACAGATGTTTACATAAGAATGGGTGCACGTAAATAAAAGAATGAGGTTAGAAAAGTTTATGTTGTGTTCAGGAAACAGTATAATTAGGATATGTGGTAAGAGAAGGGCCTGCACAGATAGGCTAGGCCTTGCCAAAGGCTTTGAATGGCAGGATGAGCAATGTGTGCTTACTTGCAGTTGTTGGGGAGCCCTTGAAGATTTTTAAATGGGGATATTATTACATAATGGCACCTGTGCCTTAAGAAATTAAATTGGTGGCAGTGTCTTACACAGTGGATTCCTTTGAGAGAGAAAAGCAGGAACACTAACTTGGAAGCTGATGGAGTAACAAGGACTGTAACTAAGTTGGAAGCGGTGGGTTGGAATGAAGTGAATATATTCAGGAGATCCTCGAGGTAGACTCTGTGTGGTCTTGTGCAGGTAGCAGGAGAAAGGATGGTGAATGCCTGAATTCCTGAACCCGTAAGGCTGCTGCTAATGGAAAGAAGGGAGCCCCCAGGGAGCTTATTTTGAGGGGAAGATGGCAATTTTGGTTCTGGATGCTTTGATCGTGATGGAGATAATTAATCAGCAGGTATTTGGTACTGCAGATCTGCGATTTGGGAGAGAAGTCTGGGTTTAAGAGACCCGGGGAGTTATGTGTACAAATGTGCTGAGGATACCAGTGAAATCCCCAGACTAGAAGGGAAACAGTTTCAGTGAGAACCAAAGTGCAAGAGTGAAGGCAGCAGTTTCTCGTCAGCTAGGGAGCTTTGTAGAACTGCAGATTCCTTGGCTCAACCTCCAGATATTCCCATTTAGCAGGTCTGGGCGTGGGGCCCAGGAATCTGCTTGCTTATCAAGCCTCACAGAAGACCATGATGACAACAGTCTCGGGTCACACTTTGAGAAGCGTTAGTTTAAAGAGTGAGTTCCATCCTAAGATTATTCCTCCTCTTGCCATTCTGTCTGAGATACTACTCCCAACAACGTTATTAGTGTTTTGATGGAATAAAATGTTTTACATTCATAAAGACTACTATGACATGCAATTAATTTCATAGGAAATTGAGAAGTTGTTTGGGGTATTTATTAAGTTCCATAGAATTGTTTTCTTTTAATATATGTGCTATGAGCTGAATTTCTCAAGAAGATGGGTCTAAACTATCCTTTTAACAGCAATAAAAGTGATTCATAATAACTATAATATAACTTGGGAAGTAACTTTGAATTCATTCAGCATTTAATGCGCTTCTGTGATGGGCAAAACACTGTGACAAGCCCTGTGGAGAAGCTGGCTTATGATGAATTTAAACTTGTGTGTGTGATTTGATTTTTTCTCTTATGTTCAAATGGAAAGCAAGTTAGTATTGCCTTGAAACTAATAATTTGCTCTACTTAGGATTCTCTTTGTATTTGGGTGTGGGTATGGTGGGGGGAGGGGCCGACATATCAAGTAAATCTTACTTTTGTCCTCAAAAACACTAATAAAAATGTCCTCAGAGTATTGAGTTCTTTTTATAGAGCGGGAGTATAAGAAGAAAAAAAAACTTAGAAAAGTCAGAAAACTGATCTTAGAAGAATTAACATTGAGGCTATATATTCTTAGTAGCCCAGTGATAAGCAAACAATTAACTTCAACTGAAACCTCCAAAATCTTTTTTCCTCACTAACATGAGTTATTTCAGTAGTAGCCAAATAGTTATCACTAATATTGTTCACTGCTTATGGTCAGTGTAAAACATTTTATAGATGATGTAAAGAGTGTGATAAACACCTCTGCAGTTTTAAAATATCTAAAACACAGTTAAAGTCTGAGCATTTTCACTTGTCAAAAAATTTTCTCTATTTAGTTGGCTAGACACTGAATGTTATAGAAAGAATTCATTGAAATATGATTTCTGTTTTATAAGGCTTTTGATGCAGATCTTACAAAACATGTATTCCTTTTCAGAATAAGTTGAAATCATTGGCTTCCCAAGGAGTTCCAAATGTAATTTCAGAAGACGCATTAAAAGGTCAAGATTCCTTGTCAACAGATCCAGGACAGGCCTGTCTGCCGGAGGACCTACTGTGTGGCGCTACTGGAGTGGAGCAAACAGAGTTAGAAGAAGATGAGCCTCCTCGTCAGATGGATGACCTGTCCACAAGCTTGGATAATCTCAGTGTTGCTTCCCTGCCAGAGGCCACAGTCGTTCGTCCCAACCAAGATTATAATTTAGTGAATTCTTTGTTAAATCTTACTAGAAGTCCTGTGAGTCGTCATCTTTAATTTTTCCCTTAATATGATTACAGTTATATGCATTTAAAATAGAAAAAAAAAATCTGTTCATATTTTAGTGTAAATCATCAGGTCCTTTTAAGTTAATTTTTTCCAAACTACTCATTGTATATCTGCTTCAAGAACTGAAGAGGCATGTGTCTGTTTTTCCCCCTCAGGATGGCCGAATAGCTGTGAAAGCCTGCGAGGGCTTGATGCTCTTAGTGAGCTTGCCGGAGCCTGCAGCTGCCAAGTGCCTCACTCAGAGCACGTGCTTGTGTGAGTTGCTGACAGACAGACTCGCCTCCCTGTACAAGGCCCTACCTCAGTCCGTGGACCCCTTAGATATCGAAACAGTGGAAGCAATTAACTGGGGGTAAGAACCATTATTTGTCTTTCCATAAAAGTGACTTCGTTCACCTGCACTTTGAAATCTCTCTCTACTTTGCAAAGATAGAAATCTTTCATTTTGAAAAACGTAGCATGACTAGTGATCATTAAATGGGATTATTTTTTGAATTTGTTATCAGTTAGTGGTAATGAATCCGTGTGGGAATAATCCAGCTGTTACAGTTAAGCTCCTTTTCTTTTGTCCTTTATAGTGATCAATTAAGACCTTAATTGCATTAGGGGCAATAACTTTGTTTTTTTTTTTTTAATTCTTTGAAAAGTAATTTCCTTTTTTATAAATAAGTTCCACAGCCTCTAGAGCTGTCTCGTATATTTCAGGGTCTGCTTGTATAGAATGTCTTCCTACCTAGTTCTTTCACCCTTTCTCCCTATCTTTTAGGGGTCCCCACTTGATTCTCATAGGAAAATATGATTATTTTAGAACATTTGTAAGTTATTAAAAAGTATAAAGTAGCATAAATAAAATTACCCATGATCCCACCTACAAGCAGTCTAATTTTTGACATAAGAACCTGTTACTGTTTTTCTGCATATTTTTAACCCTTTTTTGGTTTTTACTTGTTTCCTTCCACCCTGTATCCTGTAAACATCTATAGAACAGACTCATTTGTTAACTCTGCTGCTGTCTTGTTTATTTTAAGGCAGGAGGAGAAGCAGGCCAGTCACTTTTTTTTTTTTTTTTTTGCAGATCCTCCTTTACCTTCCTTTTTTTCTATCCCAGTGTTGAGAGCCTCCAATTTTTCATTCTTTTTACATGACCAAATTTGTGGCAGAAATATGAGGAGTTTGTCTAAATGGTTTTCTCTTGCAGCTCTATTCTGCTTTAGTCTCTCTCTTCTCACATGATGAGTAAAAATTATTTACAACTCTTATTTAAAAGATTTTCTCTTACCTTTGGCTTTCTTTTATAAAACCTTCTGGTAGATAGTCTCACAGCATTGCCTGTGTAAACATATCATGGTATAAGTTCATTCATTTGCCTTCAGTTTTCCATATGTATTGAGTGGGATGAATGCTTTTAGATAACTTCAGACTTAGCATTTCTTCTGTGTCCTTCCTACAGCTTGGACTCATATAGTCATAAAGAAGATGCTTCGGCATTTCCAGGAAAACGAGCCTTAATTTCATTTCTTTCCTGGTTTGATTATTGTGATCAACTCATTAAGGAAGCACAAAAGGTTTGAATATATTTATTGGTTATGATCATTTAAAAATGTAAATGTCTATTAAATGAAATTTGAATCCTCAGTTTATATCCCCAAATATATCTTGATTGTCTTAGTATAGCGGTTAGTAAAATAAATAAAACCAAATAAAGTGTGTGTATATATATATGTGTGTGTGTGTGTATTATAAGTCTAGAATAAATTACAACTTGAAGTTCTGCTTTTTGATTTCTTTAAGTATTGTAGTATAGCCCTTCACGAGATAACATTTGCCTTCCTCCATAGCCTTTTTGGGAAGATGTTCATACTGTAAGGTGATTGGTACAATATTTTATCCTGTTTGTCTTGTTCTTGGAAACTTAGATAAAGTGTAAAGAACTTAATAACTAACATCTAACCTCAGTTCCTATGCCATCACCAATGTGGTCAGTAGGCAAGTTTATTTTCCACATTAATTCAAATGGAAGGTGCAAACTGATTTATTGATGGTACAAATTAATCTCTTTTCCATTAAAAAAAAGAAGATAATGGTGATTGTACTGTATTCTAGACTGCTGCTGTTGCTCTCGCCAAAGCCGTTCATGAAAGATTTTTCATTGGTGTTATGGAGCCTCAGTTAATGCAAACGTGAGTGGCCTCCTTAAAAAAAAAAAAAATTACTGCGTTCATGTTATTTTTGCCCACTAATTACCTGTTTGTTATGCCAGTTCTGAGATGGGTATTCTGACATCAACTGCTCTGCTTCATCGCATTGTTCGGCAAGTAACCTCTGACGTTTTGCTTCAAGAAATAGTGTTTTTTATCCTTGGAGAACAGAGAGAACCAGAAACTGTGGCAGAAATTAGCAGACATCCTTTAAGACATAGGTTAATTGAACATTGTGATCACATATCTGATGAGGTAAGTTATGTAATGATTTTTAATTCGACTTAAATACTGATTTTGATATGCTCGTGATGTTGTGAATATAGCCTTTTTATTACGTGGCTTTAAAAATTGAAACCATGACGTACAGAGGGCAAGAAGAGTAATTTATTCAAAGATATTTTTCAGTTATCCATTACATTCTTTGGTTTCAGATAAGCATCATGACATTAAGAATGTTTGAACATCTTTTACAAAAACCCAATGAGCATATTCTTTACAACTTGGTCCTAAGAAATCTTGAGGAAAGGAATTATACAGAATATAAACCTGTGTGCCCAGAAGATAAAGACGTGGTGGAGAATGGATTGATAGCGGGAGCAGTGTAAGTTTCTATCCAGCTCTGTGAGTTTAGCATTTCATATGGAAACAGAAGTTTCTTACTTCTCTCCCTTATTCATAAAAAAATAACCTCTTACAGTTTAAAAGTTTTTAAAAATCAAATTTAGATGTCTCGATATTAATGTCCTTTTAAAATACAAATGATATTATCTATTCATTAAACCGAACAAAATCACTATATTCTTGAGTTAGATGTTAGTAGAAAATGTTGCCTTCTCTATAAAATATAAATACATTATGTTTTATTTTTTTAATAAAATTTTGAAAGAACAAAATTACTTCTAAGAACATAGCAGAGAATCTTTTCATTTAGAAATATAATAAAATTTTTTTTATACATCATTAAATTAAACTTAGAGATCTGGAAGAAGATCCATTATTTACTGACATTTCACCAGATAACACTTTGTCAAACCAAGAGTGGCTTAGTGCTTCACCTCCCGCTACTCCAGACCACCCCAAAAATGACGGGAAAACCGAAGTCCATAAAATTGTAAATAGGTGAGTTGCTACAATAATCCGACTTACATCTCTTTGACTTGTTCTTATAATTTATTACAGAGTTGTATATTATGAAATCAATCTTCTTTTATTCTAAAGATTATGTCAGCTTTTTGTCATGCTTATGTAGCAGGTGAGAGCCTGGGGACAACAACCATAGCAAAGAGAGAGGCTCTACTTCACATGGAAGTAAAAACAAGTAACAGTGGTTAAATAGACCTTCAGAGTACGCTCCTTTTTTATAAAAAATTTTAAGTAATTCCCAGTTGGAACAACATTGAGAATTTCCAGTTGGACAGATTATACTTATTGGACATGTATTCATGTATGCTAAGCAAAGTGTTACTCTTTTTTGTTAGTTTGTGTTTTATGATTTTTTTTTTCTTTTTTAAGTGCCCTTCCTATGACAGTTTTCTTATTTTTCTTCCTTTGCAATGTTGTTACTCATATGCCTGGTTCTGGCAGATGACTTGAGAGAAAATTACAGGTGGCTAAATTAGGGTGCATAAAAATCTTAAGTTCAAATACTTAAAGGACAGTTTTACTGAGATTAACAAATATCATGGCAATCCTTCATTACTCTGTAATGTAAAAAGAAAGTCATTTTTGGCTTCTACTTTTAAGTGGAATGAGTAGTTTCTTAATAAAACCTTTAAAATAACGAAGATGTATTTAATCAGTGAATTATAAGACTGATTTAAGCTAAATACTTAACAAATAATTTTATTTTTCAAGTTTCCACTTGCATTAATACTTGACTAAACTGAAGATATCACTAGATAATATATTAAAAGATAATGAATTATGAGAGTGTTTATGTTATTGATTATGGCTTTTTTCATTTAAGTTTTCTCTGTCTGGTACCGGATGAAGCAAAATCATCCTACCACGTTGAGGGCACTGGATATGACACCTACCTCCGAGATGCTCATAGGCAGGTAAGTCTAGCAACTAATTTTTTAAAATGAAACCTAGTAAGAACGCACACACACACCTTGTCACATCGCCCACAGTCATCTCTCCACAGGTTTCCCTTTCTCTGCAAGACCCGAACTCCATTCTCAATACTTTAACTTTCTCCAAATGACCTTACTTTTCATTTCATTGACTGTGTATCTGTATCTCAAGATTTCTTTATGTTGCCTCTTCCCCCTCCTTCTCTCTTCTCTTTTCTTTCTTTCTGTACTTGACATTATTATCTCCCCCAAATCCTTTCTCTTACCGATCGAAAACATCTTTAAATGATTCTAGCTACCACTATCCTTGCTCCCAATCCCCAGGCTATTGTCCTTTCCTCTTTCCCACAAATAACCTGTAAGTACTATGTCTTCTGTCACACTCTCAGCCCCTCTTCCGTCCCCTGCATTCTGGCCTTCTAGCTCCCTGACACTACTTTCCCAAAGCCCTCCTCTTAGTTATTTAATGGCCTTCTCACTGTCCTCTTTACTCTCAATAGCATTTTACATTTTACAGAATTCCAAATTTTGAAATGTTTCAAATTAGAAACGTATTTAATTTTCATTTAAATCCTTTGGATTTATGTATGCTGTTGTATATAAAAATTTGCATATGCCTGTGGTTAATTCATAATGCTTTCAGCCTGACTTCAAGTCCACATTACTACATGAATAATTAATGTACTTTCATGTAACAGTAAAGGCAGTAAAAGTACCAATCCCAGTAGTACCAACTGGACTTTTAAACTGCTTTTATTCTTTCTATAAAGTTTCATTTCCATTTTTTGATTACAAATGCAGTTATTAATATTTCAGAAATATTAGAAAACATAAAAAGGATAGAAAAAATTTTAACTATTACTTTCTAGGTCAGAATTTCAGAAATGTTAATGTGCAAATGCTTTACTAAATATAGGATGTGGTTTTATAAAGAAAATTGTATATTGAAAGCCAAATAATTTAAAACTCACAATATATTGAAGAAGTTGGGTTTTTATCATTTTAAATGTTTTCCTTTTAAAAGTTGAAGTTAGTGCTTCACGGTGAGAACATGTTTTGTTTTAATTTCAGGTAATTTCTAAACTAGAGAGGTCAAAGTAATTTTGCTTTATTAGATGAGGAGAATCTAAAAAAGGAAAGAAAATGGAAGAAAACCGTGCTGTAAATTTCTTTCATTTTGATTTAAGTAAATTATATATCAGGGAGGACTTTTAAAATTTAATTTTATTATGAGATGTTTTTGTGCTTGTAAATATTCATAGTGTTTATTCCAGTGATAAACTCTGTGTAGTGAAGGACCAGTTTTATCATTTCCAATCGGTCACAAACCAACACTTTTAAAAAACATATTAAAAATGAATTACTAGAAAAATGAAAAGAACAAACACAAATTTTAAGCCTTGATTATTTTATTAGATTCGAAAGACATAAAATTTACTCAATTAAATTGCGATTGAAGTTTCTAGGTGCTTACGCTTTGTTTGTGTGTTCATCGCACTGAATGGTGCAGTTTGGGGACTGCACTTTGAGCGGCATTGCTTCATCCGGTCAGAATAGCGTGCCTCATGCGGATACATGATAGGGAAGTCCAGCTTGCCTTCTCAGATGATGGGCATCTGTCCACCTATTAACAGTAACATTGGAGAATAGATTTGAAAACGTGGCTAGTACTTACTTTGCTTTTTAACTATTCTCTAAATATGTAATGAAAATAAGTAAAGGGTTAAATTCCTCTAATGGAAAAAGCAGAAGCACGGTAGTTAATGGGGTACTTTGGTAAACTTAAAAAATCCTTTCGTTTCATCAACATATACTGGTACTGATGATTATAATCTTACTTGTGCCGCTAGTTAGGGTGTTATCTGAGCCGTCTCTTCTTCTCCTATGGCACTTCACCTGGAGCAGACGTGCCACATTCAAATGAATTTTTATGTGGCTTTTTGAGGAAATCATTTCTAGTTCCTCTCAATGTGGTTTTGATTAGTTCTCCTTTAATGATCTAAACGTTTGTTCCTAGTTCCGGGACTACTGTGCTATCTGCTTACGATGGGAGTGGCCTGGCTCTCCAAAAGCATTGGAAAAGTGCAATTTAGAAGCAGCTTTCTTTGAAGGTCATTTTTTGAAAGTTTTATTTGACAGAATGGGAAGAATTCTTGATCAGGTAATAAGTTTTAAAATACTAATCGGGTTCATCTCATCTTAATTTAGATCATCAGTAAATTCGTTTGATTGTTTTCTTAGTTTCTCCACTAGATGACTTTGTTGTACAGCTTGATTGCCAACAACTGGTGGATTTCCAATGTGTTTGTTATGTTAAAAGCATTTATTTGGCCTGACAGTTGCTACAGAATTGAATATTTTACTTCTCATTATAGGCCACTGTCTTAATATCTTTAACATGTTTTGGAGGAGATTAGAGTGCTTTCCTTTAATGACTAACTTAGAAAACCTTTTAGTACAGTTAGACAGATATAACCTTGTAAAGTTCAATTCAGAAGACTTTAAATATTTCAAATTGAATCTTGAACACTCTGGTCTCGTTAAAATTACAGAACAGTGTTAGATGAAGCTGCTTCTTCAGACAAAGTTTGTGAATGATACTCATTTTTGTAAGTGGGAGGTGAAATTTTAAAAAGTAAATTTACTTACTACAGAGTGGATAAAAATCATCATCAGCTGGTATGTTACTGTGTATGTTTCACTGTGAGAATATGACTGTCAGAATAAATGAATATGGGATTATAGAATCCCTCCCTCCCTTCCTCTCATTGACAAAGCGATAGTTAAGCTTTAAAATGCCTTGTATATTGGAATATACACTTAAAGCAAAAGAACCTGGCATAATACTTGCCTCAACATAGACATTGAGTTAACCGGTTTGGAATTTATTTATTTATTTGTTTGTTTGTTTGTTTATCTTTTAAGCGAGGCAACCCTTTAAGCGAGGCAACCCTTGGTTGACCTCACAGATTCAAGGACCTTGTCATTTTACAATCCCTTATTTTATTTTATTTTTTTATTTTTTACGCCTACAGCACCTGGTCTTCCTAGGTGCTTCTTAGGAGACCTCCCATCCAAGTACTAGCCAGGCACGACCCTGCTTAGCTTCCGAGATCAGACGGGAGCGGGCTTGTTCAGGGTGGCATGGCCGTAGACTGGAATTAATGTAAAATCATATATTAAAGTACTTGTTCCTTTTTAGCATTTTAGTGTTTATGTGATAGGGAGTTATAAAAGAAATTCACTGCATAAGCAGGCTGTCTTTAATAACCAGAAAGCCAAGTGAAGAAATTATAATTCAATAAGTATTTCACTAGGTTAGAGTTCAGTCAGTCCTCTTTCTGATAGTAATCAAAGTGATAGAGTAAGTCTTTTTTTCTTTTAACTTCTTAATAGCTTGTGCAGTATGTCTAGCGTTTAGTTGTTTGTTCATTTGTTTGTTTTATACTTAACAACCAAAGCATTCAGATCCAGCTGTTGTAGGTATTATGCTCTATACATCATGGCTGTATAACTTCCTAGGTAGCAGGGTTCATCAGTTTATTGTATTTTTTTGGTGCTGGTTTGCTAGGCTTAGTTTGGATCTGATTAAGCTAACATGCAAGAGACATTAACAATCAGCATCAAGCCAGCAATCTTTAGAAATTCTGACCAAAAGCACTAAAAAGGAATCTAAATTTTAAAAAGCAGTTTCTGAATTGAATTGAAAGATCCTCTTGGAGCCTTCATCACTGTTGAGTATTTTTTCCTTTAGTTCGTAGAGTGCTTACATGAACGGGTACATTGGAGACAGAATATTCCCAACTGCTTAAAATTCTTTTTTTCTCCACAAGATTTCACTTCACAATGCAGAGCTGATTCATACAGTGTCTCAGTCATTCCTCCTATAACCCTGAGTGACAGGCAAAGCAGATTTCTAGTATTATAAATGAGGAATCCTTAGTTTCAGTTAATGTGACTTAACAGCTAATGAGCTATGGAGCTCAGCCTCAACCCTTTGTCTTTAAAACCCTGGATTTTCCAAGTCTTTTTTGGTAAGAACATTATATAGTCAGATCTCAAAGATAATCATGAGTCCTGGTATACTAAGCAGGCTCAGTTTAGCTTAATCTTTTCTAAATGTTTTTGCCGAGGATGATGTTTGCTTGTATTTTCTTAGTATGTATCCCTAATAGGGTCAGGATACCCAGGCTAGTATTAAACATTTACTACAGATAATTAATAAAGTAGCTAATTTCTGCAGTTATTATTAAGAAGTTGCGACATCAAGTATTCATGACACTATTGTGTTGTCACGGTGTTAATTTTTTAAAAATACCTTGTAATGCAAACAGTATTATTTTTAACTGTGGTCATTTTAAACACGGTGTTAATTTTTTTAAAATACCTTGTAATGCAAACAGTATTATTTTTAACTGTGGTCATTTTAAAAAGATAGTAAAATGCTAGGGTACATAGCAGAATATCAAGGATACCAGGAAAAATGTCAGAGGCCAACCTCTTTTCTCCGCCTTGACAGTGAAGAGTTTGACCTTGGGCAACTAACTTAGCCACTTGGCACATTTTTTATTCTTAGGGTGAAGTTGATGTTACTTGCCCTACCCACCTACTAAAATTGCTTGTAAGAATTAAATGAAAAAAGTAATCTAAAATATTTTTAAAAATACAAAATCTATTATTATTAGATTATTAGGTATTATTAGAAATTTCAGAGACTGTCAAGTCATTGAGTTTTTTAAAAATTTAACTTAAATCTTATTGTTTGAAATATCTGCATATTTGGCCTTTAGTAGAAAGGTTAAGACTGAGTTTGCTGGTGACAGTTTGCTTCTAAGTCAAAGTTCATTGCCCTGAAATTCAGACTTTGTATTTAGTGTGAGGTCAGTCAAAAATGGGCCATGTGCATTTGACATGTCAGAAAAATCTGGTTAGCTTTCATTTCAGGTGAATACTGTAAAAAGTACAAAATAGAGGGATCCAAAATAGTAGATATAACACTATTAACAACCCTCCAAAAGGCTAGTTTGCTTTAAAGTCATTACCAGTATGAAATAGAGATCATTTCAGAGCATGGCGGAACAATTTCTATGTAGCCAAAACGTTAAAAAATAGTCTGCATCAGCCTCAAGTCTCTTAAACATCCGAAGACAGATTCTTGTTCAAATAAATCTAAAAACCAAATAACATCATATAGAGAAAATAAAAGTTTAAGTGGCAATATAGCCTTGTTTAAAGCCAAATTTTTTGATGGATTTATTTAAGCACCAGCATATGGCGGAATTTAGTGACCTAAAAGTCTGAACTCCCTGAGATGAAGTCACATACAATACTGTACCACATTTTACCAAATGCATTCTTAAAGAATTTTTTGTTTCCTTGGTGCCTAAAATATAATGTGATTTCACTGTTTGTTATGAATTTAGTCTTGGAGAAGGCTGTTCTGTTGCAAATGTCATCAAGTATGAAAATATGCTCTTCGAACTATCCTTTAACAGGAATAGTATCTCCTTTCATTTATCTTGCTAAGAGTGACTCAAGGATAGGTTTTCTTCTTTCAGAAAATCTGTGTTCATGAATCTAGTGGTAAGTAAAAAAGACTAAAATTAGAATTATAACACAGGACTTGAGTTTTTGTTCATGTAACAGTATATTCGATATCTTCTGGTACATGTTCAAGCATTTGTTGTCCTCCGAACGCCAAATATTCACTTCTTACTTGGTATTCGTGATGATCAAGGGTTTAAAAGCTGCTCGGTGAATGGGAGTAAAACATTTGGATTCCATGGCTTGTGTTAACTTGGGCCTGGTCATTTTTCCCTTCCCCATGCTGCAGCATACGTTTCTCACTCATCCAGTCACCCAGGTTCTTCTCAACCTTCTCGCTGAAGTCACTTTTGTTTCAGCCACAGTTTCCTTTGGCTTCTTACAAGGCCGGAAAGGCTGAGAGATTTCTGTTGGAAGTTATAGGCACAGAAGTAGCATCTCTTTTGTACAGCGCCTTTTGCTTTTATTTTGAAATACTCTGTAAAGCACCTCCAAGCTGCTTTCTATGAAGAATAAATAGATTAAAAATAAAAAACTAGAATTCAAGGAAAATTGTGATAATACATATTAAAAAAAATGTATGAGGAACTATGCACAGACATACAATTCTCTTGCAGTAAATGAGAGGAACCCTGTCTTTAATCACCATTTTGAATCTTCCCATTCACTTTGAGGCACATAGTAGTCATTTCTACCCCCAAATACTCTTATTCCGTTGACAAGTTTCAGTGATGTATTTATTTTATCATATACGTGCACATATGCTTTTGGTAATTGGTAGTAGTTGAATAAGTTATGAGATGAGGAATGTCATTTCTAAAATTAGACTACTGTATTTAAAAAGATTTTCATATGTTTCCATCTATCTTTGGTCTTATACTTAATGTATTCTCTGTTGTTTATAATTAATATTACATATGACGCTTTTGGGTTTTGATGACCTGTGAACTATTTCGTTAATTTAAAAAACCTGCATAAAACAGAGACATTCTGACTATTTGTTTTTTCTATATGTTAAACGTATGCTTATTTTTTTTTAGGTTTTAGGACTACGTTATATGCACTTTGACTAAGATGGTGAGAGCTAATTTAGTTATAGGTATTTGCATTGTAGAAGAACGTGTAGAAGGAAGAATAAGATGGTAGATTTTCCTTTCTTGAAAGACAAATTGAAATGGTAAATTAAGTACTCAGGTATATAAGCATAAATAACATCAACTGTCTCTTTTTCACCTGTCCGTAGCCATATGATGTCAATTTACAAGTAACCTCGGTGTTGTCTAGACTCTCTCTCTTCCCTCATCCACACATACACGAGTACCTTTTGGATCCTTATGTGAACCTTGCTTCTGGCTGTAGATCTCTCTTCTCTGTAATCGTCAGGGTGAGTTATTAGTTTTATTATATTCTCTAGGATTGATAAACCTGTCCCAGTAACATCTTCATATCATTGTATGTAATTTGTGTCACATAATGAAAAATATGTATCTACTGTTTAGAAGCAATTAATTTACTACAAAATGTGGCAAAGAAAAATTTATTCTTTTAAGTGATGTATGTAACCTTTATATTTTAAGGAATAGATATGAGTCCTTTGTCAAAGACAGTTATGTGAAGAGTGAAAGGTGACATTTAGTAATAGGAAATGGAATATTTTTTTTATCTTGGAAATCCCTATGTATTTGACCTCTTGAACGGAGTTCCTTCTGTCTCTGCAATGCAGGTGGTCGGAGACCTGATGGTTAGGATCCAGCGCATTCAAGACTTCACTCCCAAGCTCCTCTTAGTCAGAAAGCGATTACTGGGCTTGGAACCGGAAGGCCCTATGTAAGTCAGCGCCGTACATGGGGTTTTTATCTAAAAATTCCACCCAAACTTGACGATGTGCTAACATCACAGTTGCCTGCCTGCTCTTGCCCTGCAGTATCGACCACATCACATTGCTGGAGGGCGTGATCGTGCTGGAGGAGTTCTGCAAGGAGCTGGCGGCCATCGCGTTTGTGAAGTTCCACGCTTCCTCCTCGCCGTGAAGAGCGCCTTCGGGTGACCAAGGGCACAGACCCGCTGTGTGCACCCATCGGAAAAGACAGTCCCACCCCGTGCAGAGAGGATAAAAAGCCCCTGTAAATGAAGTATCGCTGTAAACTGGACAGAACCATTACGAACCCACTGAGTGGACAGTTTCAGTAAAATGTGGTCTAATGTTGTTTTCATTGGCTTTATCATAATGGTTCTATGTATAACATTGCACGTCCTTGAATTCAGGATACAATCAAAGGAACTTCAGGAAATAAGCATTTCTAATGCCTGTGTGAAAAGCTGCAAAATTTCTGATGTCATGACTTTGATGATATTTCTGTTATTTTAATATCCTTTTAGGTAGCAAGGCATTTTGACATTCTCTGGGACTCAAATGCTTATATTCTTTTGGATTAATAAGTAGCAAAAATAACTAATTTTATAACTTTTTAAGGTCAGAATTCTTATCAAAAAATATGAAAAAAAAACTGTAAATGAGAAAAAAATACAATTCAGGGACCATCAAAGAGTTAATAAAATGTGTAGAGCACCATTAATTTTCTTCAGCTTTTCTAAAAATAACAATTTAATATGATAAAGAAATTCTTGATTAATATAATATATATATTTTTAAAGAAATGTTCTTTTACTCTTGTGCACATAGCCATGTTAGTGATTAATTTTCACGTATGGGTCCCAGTTTATTTAAACCTTGTCATTTTTGCAACAACGTTGAATTTGTGCTCACCGTCGGTAGTATTTGCTAAAATAGTATGTTTTAATCTAATTAACATATTTTGGGTTGCGAACCATTTTTCTCTCCCTCTCTGAAGATTGTTGCATAAAGGTGTTTTCTAATTTGATTTTCTTGTCGAAATGCATGGTCATGTTCAGGTGGGAAACCGACTGATAACTCTTAGGCGGCAATCAAAATGCCAGTGTCCTCCTTAATGTTTACATTATTTTTTCATTTTGCTGAGGCTATTGTTTTAAATGATTCTAAAGAGTTTAAAAAAAAAACAGCCAACCAGTCTCTCCTGTTTACATGGTAAAGAATGGGTAAATTGGGTGTGTGAGTGACTGCGAACGGATACACGCTTGGGGACGCGTGTGGCTGTAAAGCTGCGCTGTGCACGGCGTGCCTGGCCCTGAGCGACAAGCGGTGTTTGCTACTCCACTCTCTAGTCTTCCTTTCAGTGATGCTTATCACACAGATATTTCGTGGTTACGCTTTCTTCTTTTTTTTTAGTTGAAATGTTAAGCAGCGGCACTTTCCTCTTTATCTTTCCATTTATTGATATTTGCAGAAACAGACTATCACACTCTCTAGCTTGAAAAGAACTGTTGCTGCCCTTTCTAAGAAGTTGGTTTATGTAGCATGTTTGCTTATGTACAGTGCGTGGCGTGTTCATGGCAGCATGTTTTATACCTACTGCTAATTTCGATGTATTAGTTGCTCTGATTTATTTTCTTAGATTTTGCTATTTATTAAGAAAAAAATTGTCAAAACATTCTGGATATTCTTGGCTTTAGAATGCTTCCCACTGTCAAAACAAGAAAAACTAAATTTCTGACTTAATGCAAATCTTCGTTAGCTCTTTCTGAGAAGTTTATTGAGCAAAACAATGGAAAAACAAAGGTAGGAGACAGATACGTTGTGCATGATTTTCTTCAAATGATTTTTAATGACGGAAAGACATTAAGTTTGCTGTATTTATTGATCAGCTTATGTAAGGAACCCTGCAGCACCTTCCATTTTAGAGGTAGTTGTAGTCTACTTTGGCGTAGGTATTAGTTAAAACAAGGCATTAGGAGATGTTAGACATTTCTTAATGTTTTCATAGCGTTTAGTAGGTGTAATAGCAGTGATGTGACCTCTCAAACCAAATACTATTTTATCTTTGATTTCACAATGGGACCTTATAGCTAATCCATGAAACCAAGCTCAGAAAAGCTTTAACTCATATTTTTTTGTGTGTATGCTGCTTCTTAAAACATAATTATTTTTCTAAGTTATTGTAATAACTGATTTATAATCAGCTAAAGCTTAAGGTATATTTTGTTTCTCTTTAAGCCCCTTCTTTCTTTTCTTCCTTCTTATTCAGACGTAGAGCCAGCACAAGTTCTCACAGTGAGTTAGATTTGTTGGTGAAACATTGTACTACATTATTAGTCTTTTGTTTTTATGGTCTTGCAGAAGCCGAATATTTCTGTTCCTCAGTACTTGTAAAACAGTGACTAAAATGCACTGTTGGGTAGAAAGTACCATCTTAACAATTGATTGCCAGAAGCAAGTTCCAAACTGAATTTGAGCCTTGCTTCGCATTGATATAAATAGGTATGAACATTTTTTTAAAACTTTCTAACAGTATAGTCTTTGGATTTATTTTTAGTAACGAGCCACATTCTTTACTTGATAGAACTCAGATTTCTCATTAGCCAATTATTGTAGTACTCACATTATAACTATGTAATGTTCTCGTATGTATCTGTGCAATATGGGAGCTATGAGTGGATTCATAGCTTTTTAGTTTAATTGTACATTATTGTGTGTGTACATGTGTATATATATGTGTGTGTAAATATATAAGGACCAAAATCTTCAGCTTGCTTACACTGTTGCTAGTGTAAAGATTGTTACACTTAATTTTACGGGGCACAAATTATGGAATTACTTCATAATTCATGGTAATATGTTTCCGTAAATTATTGCATTAATATACAATTATCATTTAATTATGAAGTTCATAGGTATTGACTGAAGTTACAGTGAAACGCTAAAACCACAAATTAACATGGTAGTTATATATTGGGTGGTACAATTAATCAAAATATGCATGTCATTCTGACACTTGTGTTAAAACATGATAGATAATCATATTTCTGGGCCCTGTAAAATAGTGTTACTGTAATACTCTGTTTTGCCTCCTGCCTTGTTTACATTAAACAAAGGATATTTGGTAAATTTTTCTATTGAATATTGTGTAGGTTACTGACAGTGTTACCAGGGCCTAGAATTCTTGGGCCGTCTATGAAGAAACCCTTCAGATGGTGATTGTGCACCTACTATCTCTGCAAAGGGAGCTGTGATCAACTTTTTGTGCTAACGATGCATGCAGGACTAAGAGGGATAATCTAAAAATAAATAATGGAATTTAAACAAAATGTCTTCTTATATTTTTGCGGAATTCTAATTAGAAATGTTTTATTCACCGATAAGTTGAAAACAATCATTTATAACACATAAAAAGGATGTGACACACAACAATCAATAGGTCACTACAACATTGATTCCAGGGGAAAAACAAGAAGACATCAGAATATTTGTGGACGGGGATGTGTAGCTCATATAGATCACCACGCGATTCCTTCTAGTCACTTCCCTAAAGAAAGGAATGTTTATACAAATCTTAGAAATTCATTCACCGTAAGCATTATTTCTTAATATAACACATAAAAACTTTTCTCTCTAACTGACATTCAAATCAAGTAGACTCTAGGCTTATTCCATTCACTTGAGTATTTACCAGAGTCGCCTAATTAGAAACTGAAACAAACATGTGACACATGGCACAACCAGAAAGAAAAATCTAGTTATTAATCCCACCTACTCATGATTCTTTCCAGCCAATGTTATATAAATAGTTTTAATAGAAAATAAAGAGGATAACAGGTCGAAGATGCAGGGAGGTAAGGTTTGGGTGTTGAGTTGAAATGACCCTCCCTGCCTTGAGCTACTTCAAAAGAAAACCACGTTTTAATGCATAATCAGGTCGCCAGTCCAAAAATGCGGTTCAGATTGCTGTTCAGAATTTTTCAGTGTTTCATCTGGAAAACTAGTTATCTTGAGGGAATTTAAAGCTTAATGTAAAATTCTTATGGTTGAAATTTTGTTAAGAGTTGCTCTCAAAATCTATACTGCTTTCTCAAAAGAAAAAAAAAATCAAGTAAAACAGTACATGACATTTTGATGCTGAATGATCCATGAAAGAAACGGAATAGGTTTTAGTTGGTCTTAAACCAATTAAAGATTGTCACGTATAGGCCTAGCTCGAAGGAGGCTGGTTAACTACATCAGGCAGATTCATCTAGGCCTGATTCATGTACACTCACTACTCTTATGGTTTGACTGTTTTGTGCATTAGAGATTTTTGTGTTATAATAGCATTTCTAAAGATGTATCAGAAATATGACACATGTCACCTCAAACCAAAATGAAATGATAATTTGGTTTATTCAGCAAACATTTTTTGAGAACTTTCTGTGAGCCAGGTTTTAAGGTACTAGGAAAAGAAGAAGCAATTTCTTCCCTCAGGAATTCAGTCTCGGAGGATTCAGAGTGCTTACACAAATACAATATACATTGGTGAACACTGAAGAGAAACAGCACCCAAGAAGTATGAGTACAGGGAGAAGGAAGCAGTGTAGCAGATCATCTACAGGGAATATCACAACTCAAGCCTTGACAAAATTATATTGTTGCTGGTGGGTATAGATACGCCAGATATCCTGAGAGGTCATAACCATAATTCAGCTCAGCAGGATTTTTTTTTGAAATGGAGAACTATATCCTATTATATTTACCATGGTAACTGTTCCCTTTCACTTCCGTGCTGAGATTGGTATAATGCACCAGCCCAAACAATTGTGCTTTTAGGCCCATATTTTTTCAGTTGATGAATAACAGTTAACTATTCTGATTTAAATTGTCTCTTTCTAGAACCATATTTATAGAGAGAAGGCAAAAAAGTCAACTGCAATGTTAAAAACAAAAGATTTAAGTAGGCTTAAAAAGTGACTTGAACATTAGGGGAAAGATTTGTTTTAGAAAAAAGTATTTGTAGAACCAAACCTTTCTTCTTGCTTTAACTCAGTCCTCCCTTGACCACATTTTTTATTCTCACCTGGGTTGGGCACAAGGTGGCTGCATATGCAATTAAGAGAGAGCCGACCCGGGTTGATGGAGGCTGGAGAGGAAATGCAGAAGTCACTTGCTGGATATGTGTGGAGAGATGGAATGTATAAACCTCTGCTGGGTTCGCATCCCATAGCTCCCATCCATTCCCCAAATTTAAGCCTAGGATAAGGCTAGGGGGTCGCACCTGCCGGGGAGTTAGATGAAGCGACCTGACTTCTGTTTCCCTTCCTACCCTCAGTCTTCTTGAGGTAATCTCACAGACTTGCCTGATCTCCCAAGGGTGAATCAGGAATTAAAAGTAATTCAGCGTGCTTTATAGTTTTGTATGATGACCTTACTCTTCCTTCTAGTTAGACTAGTCCGTACATCAAGGGGATTATTAAGGTAATAATTCTCTTGACCGAATAACCGAATCCTGACTCATAAGTTAGGACCTAGTAGGACTGTCAGAAATTCCAACAGTGCCATGGGTTACATTGCTCTCGTTTGAGGAGGTGAGGCTGAGGAGTAAGAAGAAGGCATCCTTTGAGTTTTGTAGCTGTTGGTTTCATAATGGTACCCGTGTTACGTGCATTCAGTTGCATGATGATCATTCTATTCTGAACGAAATGTTTAATTCTAAGGATATGTTTTCTTCAGTGATAATATTCAGTTTAGAGGATCCAAACAAGTCAAGAATATATCCTGGGCCTAGCACACCATTCTTTTTTCAAAACACATTTTTAGGTCTAGAACTGGAAGCTCAGAGCGCTAGATGTGTTCAGGAAAAAAAAAAAAAGAGCAAGTGACATGCTCAGCCTGTGAGACTAGGGAAGACAAAGCGAAAGCATCTCCACGTCTGTTACTGCCTCGGGCCTGAAATTTATGAGGAAGGAATCGTAAAATCAATTTTGCTGTAATGCAGAAAGATGAGATGGCGCACACATTCACTATAGCCTGGATAAAGTTATATTTCAAAGCCCTGAAGATGAGATTCATTTATGTAATAACACGAGAAATGTATTCCTCGTTCCACTCACAAGTGGAATAGCATGTAGGATTTTAATTGATTAGACTTCCCAAGAGAACTGTGGGCTGCAGATTTCTAGAGGAAAACAAATTAGCCATTCCTTAAACATTATTCTTCCATGTTTAAAATGTGCCTTCCTTCTTAAATCTCTTTATTCTGTTGTTCTTATCAGCACTGTAGCAAGTCACAGCATTTTATGATTCTGCTTCGATTACTTGAATGTCCTATGATCCTTATTTCTATCCTGTTTTAGAAATGATTAGAAAATGGACCGCCTTATGTTGCCTTGGTGCAGGGCTCCCACAGAAATGAGAGTTGAGAAGAAAACGTCTACTTTTAGGATATGAATGTCTATGTACTTTGGACTCCTTGACATAAACAGGTTCCATTTTATAAAGACCTGCATTTTTATTAAAATGATCCAATGTGATGTAGCTTCAAGTAAACCTTTCCCTGAGAATAATACTGTTGGCAAGAGCACATGACTCATTAAAATTTGGCTTCAAAGCCACATTCTGAAAATAATAAAGGTTGTAAATGTAAATGTGCATAGCAATTTCTGGGTGGTTTTTTTTTGGAATTTGACATTGAAATAAAAATAATTTAGCACAGTTCTTAATGATTGGAGTCTTTTCATGCATAGCATATAATTGATATTCATTAAGTTCTGAGTATTTCGAAGAAAAAGCTGATATGTATCTTGCCAAATAATGTTGCTCATTTATTATCATTTTTATTTCAGTAGAAATACAAAGACTAGGGAAGTGTAATTAATTTGACATAGATAATTCTGGGCTGAGCATTTCAATATCAACACCATTAAAAAAAGTTCTTTGTCCTCATTACATGGCTTGCCACTGCTATACTTGCTGATACAAGACTATTGTATTTCGGCCCTTCCTCTAGTGAGCTGTGTGATCAATCACTCAACTAATACCATTAACTCTTAGGACTGAAATCCTCCCTCTCAGCTTTTTTGGGTTAAGAAGGATATTGGTGAGATGTAAATGCTGAGCTTTTCTACTGGGTCCTGAGTTATTTTTAGAAAGCCCTTGCAAGTCTGTTAGTCCCTGTATTATATTTTTTATCTGCAAACTCTTCAGAAATCCCCATATCACTGTGGAAGCTGATCCCTGCCTGTTACGATGATTTTTTCAAAAAACTTATTTTACCGTAGTTAAGCTGCTTTCAGTGGTCTATTCCTCAGACCACTGACACCAAGGGGCTACTTCACGTATGCAAAAGGCAAGGCTCTGCTCTCCTGATACAACTTTGCAAAATGATCCTGCTTGGAGTGAAAAAAAATTTTCTAGCTAGACACGTAAAACAGTATGAATTGGGTGCTGTGTTCATAAATGTTGAGGTCTGAGGCTCAAAATGGACTGTATTGTCACAGAATTATAGTAACACCATCCATGATGCTCAAATGATATTTACTAAAACCCCGCCTGGCTATGACGAGGAGAGAGTTCAAGAACGTGGCTATCTTCGAGAGGTCTGCTTTAAAAGTAGAGGGGATAAGGCAAGTTCTGTGCAGCTTATTAAGCTCTTGTCCTTCAGTTCCAAATCCGCTCTTCTATATCCTTTATCATACGGGGCTAGGATTCCACAAACTAGATTTCTCCTTTACCAGCTGGCTTTCCACTAGGTTTTGTCAAGAAGAGTTTCTGGAGGGGAAAGGGAAGTGGGCAGAAGGGAGAAAGAACTTTCTTTGGATTTGCTCGCCGTTCCTGACATACTACCTCAGCAGCTGGTTTCAGCCTCTGCGTTCTTTAGGCGTTCCCAGAACCAGCCTCGGCAGACCCCTTAGAGAGAGCAGCAGCAGCATGGCAGTGCCCCCTCTCAGAGGCCTGAGCCCCAGCTTTCTAGAGCCCTTCCTCCAAGCTTCTAGGTCTGTCACCCCAGCCTTGTTCTCTCAGCCCTGGTGGTAGCTGCTTCCTGGGTCATTATTTCTGGATGACCTCAGTGAATAATGGCCCGTCTTCCGCATTCACCCCTCCAACGTTGGCGTACCCAATCCCTGTATTAAATCCCCTCTGCCGAAATCTCTGATATAGTTTCTATTTTCCCATCTGGACCCATCTCAATGGCAGCATCTTCCACTATTAACCCCAGCCTGGGGAGGATGGCTACCACAGAACTTTCCGAGGATGCTCTCATTAATACCTTTTAATACCTTAGTGAAGAGATTGTCATCTGGCCCCAACAGGAGATATAGCTGGATATTCATGCCCCATG